CATTGTGTATATCACCACATTTTCTTTATCAGTTCATCTGTTGATGGGCACCTGGGCTGGCTTCATAACCTGGCTGTTGTGAGTTGTGCTGCTGTGGTCATTGATGGGCCTGTGTCCCCGTGGCATGCTGAGGAGCCTCCATGCTGTTTTTCACAATGCTTGTACTATTTACATTCCTACCAAAAGTAAGCAAGGATTCCCTTTGCTCCATATCACTGCAAGCACTTGTGATTTTCTGTCTTATTGAGAAGCAAGTAGTATTCCTGAAGGCCCTCCAAGGTCTCCCAAGTTTTGCCTGAGATCCTAAGAGAGGTCCTGTAATAGGACTCCCCCTTTTATATTCTTTGCTGTCTTTGGGTAGGAAGCCCAGGCAGGACAGACGCAGTAGGCAGAAACCTGGTGTCTGTTTTGTGCTGTTACAGCAAAATACTTGAGCCAAGGAAATTTAAAATGAGCAGAAATTTACTGGCTCACTTTTCTAGTAGCTAAGAAATCCAAAGTCAAGGGGCCAGCATCTGGTGAGGCTTACTCATGGCAGAGGTGGAAGGATAACAGAAGGCAGGGTAGGGCAAGGGAGAGGGCAAACGTGTCCTTTCATGAGGAGCTCTTTCCTTTGATAAAAGCATTAATCCCTTCATGTTTTAGTCAGCTTTATTTCACTGTGACCAAAAGAACTGACAGGAACAAAGTAGAGGAGGAAAAGTTAATTTGGGCTCATGGTTCCAGAGGTTTCAGTCCATAGATGGTCAACTCCTAGCTCTGGGCCCCGGTAAGGCAGCGCATCCTGGTGGAAGGGCGTGGTGGAGGAAAGCAGGCTCGTGACGTGGCATCAGGACGTAGAGGGAGCTCTGTTGTCCAGAGACAAAATAAAGGCCCACCTGCCTTGACCTGCCTCCTCCAATCAGGCTACCTGCCTACAATTTTCACCCAGTTAATCCACATCAGTGGATTTTCCCACCAATCAGGACACAACTTTAATACTTTAGTCATTTCACCTCAGAACCTTCTCGCATTGTCTCACATGAGCTTTGGGAGACACCTCATATCCACACCACAACACTTCATGAAGACAGAATCTTCATGCCCAATTACCTCTTAAAACTCCTCACTTCTTCATATTGTTGCAATGGCAATTGCATCAACACAAGTTTGGGAGCATAAATATTCAACCCACATGGGATGAGAAGGAGAATGACAATCAGACAGAATGTCACCATTCACTGAAGCACTGAAGAAAAAGGGAAGTAGTGCACAGATTCATCTACTGTACCTAGAGCTTCATCCTGCTGCAAGGGCTCCTCCAGGTGCCGTGCCACAGCCACTTTGGAAAAGGGCTTCTTTGGGGCCTGCTGTAGCCTAGTGAATGTGAAGAAATGGATGTGGGTCTGATTTGTTACTCTCAAAATTGGGAAGTTGGATAGAAAAACTGGTGTTTGGCATCAGGTGAAGATATGCTTAACCTCTCCTTGTCTGAAACACTCCCTGATTCTCCCCCCACACCTTACCTACAGGGAGTTCCTTTTGGCTGAGATCCCAACCTGTAAGTGAGCAGAGCAGAAGGTCTGAAGAGCAGGTGGCCTTCCTAAAACCTCAGTGTGGTCTCCAGTGCTATTGCAATATGTGGAAGAAAAATGCCCTTAATCCGATTCGAGTAAGGGAGGTTTTATTAGCCAATCAAAGTTTGAGGAGCTTCCCTGAGGGTGGGCTCTGGGATGGGTAGCCTGGGACTCCCGCTGCCCCTCTATTTTCATCCTCTCCTCCCTCTTAGACCGCCTCCTCTTCAGAATCTCCCAGCCCTAGGCAGAACCAACCTCTGACAGCAGACTCTCCCACTCCCAAGACCCCAATTAAGTTTTCTCCACTTCTTGATGCTAGCTCTGAGCTACCACACTTAGCTAAAATTTCTTACAGTGGGTTTCCTCAAGGGGCAGAATCATGTTTTAATTATCTCCGTGTCCCCATATTCGTACCTCGCCCATGTAGGCACAGAGTAAAGAACATAGAGAGATTAAATGAATAGCTACAACCACAGGCATCACAGAGGACACCATCTCTGCCCTCACCCTATGGCAAAGAAGCTTTAAAAAGGAACTTCCACTGGGCCAAAGGGGCTGCCCTTGCCCTGCTATAAGGATTCTCTGCTGTGAGAATAGCATTAATACATAAAGACGAAATTATGTGCACTTCTGGGAAGTTTCCAAAGTGGTACAGGTAGTGTGGATGGAGAGCCTTTCCTGCAAGTGTACCGTGATTCACACACAGCCATCCATTTGGTCACCTTGACGTCCTGGAATACAGCTAACTCTGGAGGCTGGCATGACAGGCCTTCCTGTGATGGCTATGTGTACTCTCAGTGGTTAAAAGGCAGATAAACAGGTATTTCCTAAACATTTTTTCCTTTATCAAGATAATTGAAATAAAAATGGAAAAGGGGCCCATAAAGAATAAGCTTCAGGTATTTGAAAAATGCACTTGGTGTTATGGGAAAAAGTAAGCATATGTTTGTGTGGCGAAACTCAGCCACATACACAGTGTGCCTAGAGAGCAAGCCCAGGACCCTCCCTCCGGATGTTTCCTGGAAGCAGTGGTGGCCCAGATCCGACACCTTGCAGTCACTGAGGTTGGAATCTCCTACTCTATATCCAGTCTTCAGAGGCTTTCAACTTTGGATCAATTAGTCATTTTCCCTCCTAGTTTTCCATTGTAACTTTGTACTCAAGCTGTCAAGCGTCCCAGGCACATGTTGCCATAGGAGACTCTGTTTGTTGAGGGTGGAGTGGTTGATTTTGGCAGGTTGGGGAGGAGCAATTAATTCTAATAGGTATAGAGTACATTAAATACATGGGTCTTTTTAACCTTTTCTCTGTTATTTCTGCTCCTTTTCATAAATTTTCTTCTCTTCCCAAATGATCATTTAAAAGTTGAAAGGAAGGAGCTTCTAGACATCATTTGGGGTCATCACAGTAGAAGTCTAATGGGATATAGAAAAGCTCACATTGACCATGACTGCCCTTTTCAAAATACCTTCCCTAGTGTTCTTGCGATAAGAAGCCCTCTGTGGTGAGGCCTCTGCAAATCAAGATTTCTCAGCATTCCTTACTCAATCCATTCAAAGTGAAGGTTGTTTTTATGAAAAGGAAGACATCTTTAGACCCACCTTTAATTCTCCATTTGAAGAACATACTTACATGTGTATAAGAAAAGTGTTTTGGATGTTCTTTAAATTTTTATAGAAAATTACATGGAAAAGAAAAAAAGGAACAGATGAAGTTTTTGTCAATGTGTCAGTCCAGGTAGGAGGAGAAGAAACAGATGTAGTGTTAGATGAGAAAAATATTCTCTAAACACTTGAAAAAGGCCTAGGAAACTCTGGGGAATCTCAGCAGATATCTGGTCCTCCCAGGAGGATCCAAGAGCATCCACAGGATGTGCCAATTGTATTTTAACTCTGATTATTTGGCTGCAAGTTTGGACCCAAGTCCTGAATGTACATTTAGTCCAAGTTCTCCAGAACTGGAGGGTCAGGCTCCAGTGTTAAAGACAAACGCCCATCTCGAAATCTTTGTCTTGCATCCCAGAGCGCTCTGTGTTGAAAACAGAATTCATTCTCACTTCCTGCTCTCCGCTGACATTGCCATACAGATGTGCAGCAGCTGTTGTGCTCCACACACGCGCAGCAGCTTTGCAGAGGTTGGCAACCCGGTCTGCATCTGGAATGGGCTGTGCAAATGAGCTCAGGGCCCCACAGAATACATCAAAACGTTGAAGTAATCRCTGGGACGAGTCTGTTCTAACATAGCTCAATTGCTGAAAATTATTTAATGATCATTTCTGAGTTCAGTGATCTATCTCATCAAAGCCCAGTGAAATAGGGAATAATCCTTCTATTTGACATTTAGGGAGGCCACGGGGAGAGAAAGTGATTTGAACATGGAAACTGGGAGGTGACCTTAGAATCCCAGAGTTTTGTGACCCAAACAGTTCGTGTGCGAGATGCGCGCTGAGGCTTTACAGTTGGGCATGAGCTCAGGACAGTGAGCAGCCGCTGCACCTGAGAAGGTGGGCTGCCTGCCTGCTGCCCAGGGTGCTGTGGGCCGTGCTCCCCTCAGAGGTGGTTCCCTAGAGAGGCAGTTGTGGGCTGCTGAGCTATTTGTAACTGCTCGTTGCTGTTCTTATCACACATTCCCTTCGGGGGTGAAACACTCCATTAACTCTGGTTTCTTCTGGGCCCCTTTCCCATTTTGGTTCCTGTTAACTGGCAGCAGTAAAAGGAGTGAGTGAAACAGTTTCACTTTCTCTGCTCTAACCCTGGGCCAAGCTGCTGGGCATCAGGTGGCTGCGTGTGTGGGAACATTCCTGTGCTAGCCCTGGTGTCCTCAACCCTAGGACCACTGCACTCAGGACAGACATCATTGCAGTCTTTAGAACACCCAAGGACTGCTAGAGTCTCTAAGCACCAGTCCTGAGTGCACCAGGTGACAGGCCAGGGATTGTGGTCCTCAAGGTGGGAGGAGCTGCAGAAAGCCAAGCTATGTGCCAAGCACTGCCTGAGCCCAGCTGCTAGCTGTGTGACCAGACAATTCCTATCATCTCTATGCACCCCTGGTTTCTCACTGACAAAGTGGGACTTTTAAAGCGAATCCTGTCTAATACACAGACCTTTTCTGAGGTCAACAAAGCTAAAATGTGTGAACCTTTTTGTAACCTACATATTATAAAGACCTAGTATTTATAAGAAGGCAAAAAAGTTGATCAAGGAATTTAATGAGCATCCCAGACCTTACAGTAGGACAGGAGCASGTTCTGCAAGAGAAATCTGACAATTGCTTAGGCCCGATGGTCTTATCTCCAGGTTTTTCCACCTCTTGAGGATGTGTCCTGCTCCTTAGGTGCTCATCCATAGTCTCTCTGGAGCTCCATGGGGGGCTGGGGTCGAGGAGTGGGAAAGAGGGCCAGAGATAGCAAAACCGCACTGGACTCTGACCTCAGCCTCCTTACAGCCTTTTCAAGCAGATGGTTGGTGTGACACGATCAACAACCGGGCCTACTGCCACTATGATGGAGGAGACTGCTGCTCTTCTACACTCTCCTCCAAGAAGGTACGTGAGGGTGCCTGGGGACAGCATGGGGACAATGGAAGAAAGGCAGGTTCTCTGGCCAGCTCTGCTTCACAGTGGAGCAGACTTGATTTTTAATCCCCAAGAGAATGATAATGACATTAGAAGTTATAAACATTGGAATGTCTAAAGTGACAAGATTGAGGGTAACAGTCTTTAGTATAGAGTCTTAGAAAACACCAGTCCTTTAAATTGTCAATCATAAATGCAATGGCTTTTTCTAATGAAAGTCTCATATCTGCTCATCATTGTCTGGGAAATTCTTCTATAGGCAGGGAAAACAATGGTTTCTAGCCCTTAAGGATACTGGGTTACCAGTGAAGTGCTTCCCCTCTATCATTCATCTCCATAATTAAATTAATAGTCAGATGGCGTCATACAGCAGTATTGCAGGCACATGTTCATCGGCTGCTGAGCACCACCTGGAGTGCTCTCTGAACCAGACCATAGTCGTAATCCCCTTCTTGATGCCCCTGATTGCTGTTATGCTTGGCTCTGCTAAATTTATAGACAGGCTCAAGTGAAGTCTATAAAATTAAATAGGCTGAAATTTTATAATAGGTAAAAATCCAAGTGCTCTGAAGATATTTGAAGCTAGTTGGCGAGCTTGATGAATCAGAAAAATGCAGCCATTATTTCCTTCCTTGTACCTGTCTCCACAATAAAGCCATGCCTACCAAGGTCACCTATATGTGGATCTGAATACTTTCTCTCTTTCTTTGCTAATATATTTTGCTGAATCACTGTGTGCTGGGCACTATTTTCACCATTTAAATGAACTAACTTATTCAGTACAAAGCATGTAGGGGCTCATCATATCACTATTCAATTTGGCCCTCATTTGCTCTAAAAATCAATAAATCCTGAACTAAGAGAAACAGATCAAGAGCTTGGGCCACAGGTCAGAAATCAGGCCAGCTGGTTCTGTTCCATCTTGTGAAAATAACTGGGGACAGAGACCATCTTTCTTATACAGGAAGCATGGATTCTGGAGGAATAAGTCAGGCAGCTCTCCCCCTCTCACTCTGCAAACCTACGACTTATCTTTAATGGACGCCAGTGCCTGTCACTCACAAGAACTGGAGTGTAGAGGAACACCCCCTCTGTTGACTACTACATCACACTTTACTTCATTTGTGCAAATATGCTGGGATACTTCCCCAAACAACCCCACCCATTCTCTAATCCACTTGCCCAATCCCGAGCCCATCTCTCCAGTGTACTTGGACCAGTCTTGTACATGATATGTCTATTCAATTTTATCTCATTTGATTGCCAGTGGCCAGAGGGTAAAATATCTAACTTTTTTTAAATTAATTTTTTATTTGTTTTAATTAGTTATACATGACAGTAGAATGCATTTATGCATTTTGATCTTTTACACCATGTTTCCAAAATGTCCAGTTCTCTTTGATACTGGTTATAGACACTCATMTAGGGTGCTCATCTGCTGGTATCAGTGAAAGCAGGAAGAAGACAACTTTTGCTTGACCACTCCTGGCACAACTTTTGCTTGACCGCTCCTGGCACAAAGAAGGGAGAATTACACGAAAGGAAGCAATACCACCACAAAGAGTGAGTGGGTGGCACCATGCCAAAGCATATCCTGGGCTCAGGAGAGCAAGACTTCATGTGTTTAGAGATGTCAAAGATGATCCTAGTTCCCCAAGAGCACTGAAGAGTGGAGCCAGAGAGACAATCCAGAGCTGGCTTTCCACATAGTCCTTCCACTGTCCTGAGTTAAAGCAGGTAGCCCTGCCTTCCCTAGGAGGGAATGAGCTAATATCAATCCCTCCAACACACAGGAATATTGTGACGATGTTGACAGCAACAAAAACAATAGTGTAAGACATACGAGGTATCATTAGAAGTAGTCACTTTAGGTGTCTGGCCACGATGAGCATCTCACACCCATCAGTTCACTTAAACCACACACTCTGTTTCTGTTGTCCTTCTCACTCTCTGTATGGAGAAAGCAAAGTGAAGAAGGACGATCTTGTCTGAAATGACATGGTCTGAAATGACTGAGTGTTCATTCCAGCTCTGTGATACTGAATTGTGATCCCACTTCCTCCAGGACCGAGTGAGAACCGTGGAAGCCAGTGGAAACATGTGGCATCTGGCACACACACCTGTTATTTCAACTTCTCTTTCCTTCCCCTAGGTCATTCCATTTGCTGCTGACTGTGACCAGGATGAGTGCACCTGCCGAGACCCCAAGGCAGAAGAAAATCAGTAACTGTGGGACCTGGGACTGAGCCCGTTCCTCCTCTGCCCTGGAGGCAGGCAGAGTGAGAGACCTCCACAGGAGGAAACACAGGGCAGGTGAAGGAGAAAGGTCACCAAGTGGAGGAAGGAGAGCGTGTGGACCATCTGTTAAGAAACCCGAGATGATATTTATAGGTGTCAACTAACATATCAACTAGAAATCCAAGTAGGGAAGAATTATAGGCAAAAGTTTCTTTAAACTGGCAGTTGATTAAAAGAGGAAGGAGAAATCAGATAGATAAACAAGGACCCTCCTCCCCATCAATATTCTACTCCACCCACCTTAGCTCCTGCCCGACTCCCCACTCTGCACCCCACTGACTGCTCAGCCCCACCAAATGTGTAATCCATTATCAGAATGCTAGAAGGAAAGTTGCCAGGGACACCCTGTCAATGCCCATTCAAATGGATTGTCACCTTTCAGCGCTTGTCTGCTCTAAACTGGCCTTTCCCTTCCTTTTGTGTAGTCTCTCTTAAATAATGAGGTTAGTTAATAATTCTTTATAAGTATTTAAACATAATTATATAAATATATTATATATTATATTTTTTGCTGTTTACTAAGCTGAAAATTACCCATTGTTCCACACATGCTGCTGTGAAGTTCATGTCCAAAATGAATGCTGAGGCTTTGAGGACAGACACACAAGTTCTTCTGCCATATTTCTATGTGTAGGGATTGGCAGGTTAAATGGGAAGTGGAGGAGAGGGAGATCAGATAGGATTCTGTATGCTAGCGTGCCAGCTAATCATCTTTTTACGCCCTGGGAGCTGGGCCCACTTAAAGGGGATGGGAGTTGGAATGATAGCACTAAACGGCATGGGAAGTTGGGCGTGACACCCACTGGGGGTGGGTCCAGGGGAATAAGGCAGTGGTTCTTAAGCATCTATCAAAAAAGAATGTAGTATTTCCTCCCCATTTCTCAGAACTGTCAACTGGATTTTCTGCACTTTCATATGTGCCTATTCCAGTGTGGCCATCTACCAGCCGGTCAGCAGATTTGTGTTCGGGCTCATCCTCTGAGCACCAGGATCACAGAAACTCACATGCTTCGTACTTGGCCTCTTTGTGAGAATTCCCCAAGCCTGTTCATCATGCACACCCACATCACTAGCTGTTGATCTTACAGGGGAAAACGTTTTAAAGAACAGGTGGGGATGGAGGAGCCAAAGGAGGCCATGGAGAGGTGAGGGGTCAGGTTAAATCAGGGCCAAGAGTGACAGGATGGAACAAGTCAAGGAAATTTGGTCCTTGTTCCAAGACTCCAAAGTTCACAGTGGATCCTTTGAGCATTGTGGAGTCTGCAATGAATTTTATTCAAGTGGGTGCATAAAACCTGTGACCCAGAGATTTCAACTGGGCAAGCCATGGAAACAACATGGAGCAAGGCTGACACTCTGTGGGAGAAAGAAGAATTTCAACTATTTAGGGTCCATTTTGTTGTCTTTCTCCTTTCCTGGTGGAGAGAAGGGCAGCACATGGAGTGACTGCATTGGCCTGCCTCTCTTTGCATCCTGGACTCTTTTGTTTTGTTTTTGCACATGGCCTTTGGTAGTTCTTTTTTTTTTAATAGTTTCTGGGTTAGGCCTTGGGGAAAGAGAGGAAGGAGCCAATTTCTACTCAATGCTCAGTCTTACCTTAGGAAGGGCCTTGAGCCTGTTTCCTTCAGAGTTTCCTCTCCAGGGAAAACCAGGAACAGGCAAACCTTAGAGCTCAGCCATGGCCTCTACACTATTGCTTTCTGTTCTGACCAAGTCTTCTACTCCTCCCATCAACACTGAATCAAAGGCTTTTCAAAAAACAAGGAAAACATTATCCACTACTATCAAAATATTATCCATACTCAGCACAAGAAATAATATCAGGGATGGAAAAAATGAAGATAGAGCAATCTGCACACATCTGTCTGTGTTGTGTGGAACAAAGGCTGCAAGCATTGGGAAGCGGGTGGCAGAGTTTGCCACCCGAAAACCCCTTATCCCCAGTATTCTAGCCACTAAGGAAACTGTAGCCTAAATACCGTTCACTGCCTAGGTCACCCTTGGTGCCCCTAAGAAGACAAGAAATAGTTCTGATAGGTTTTAGTATGGAAAGGACAATGGAAAAGTTTAGGTTCTCCATTTAAACATACAGACACACAAACTTTGCAAAATTGTTTTCTTGGGGAAAATATCCAAATTTCTCGACACATGTCAAGCCCTGTTTTGGGCAATCCTTCCTGCTACTGAGACAGAGCCCTTGTTATCTTGGGCGTTACCCAGCCCAGGGAGACCTGACCTCCAATAAGAAATAAGGAGCCTGTGAATTGGGCCAGCAGGCGCTGGGATTCATCTCTCCATAAGACTAATGGTGAGAAGGTTTCTGTCTTATACTTCATTTTAAAGTACTTTGCTCTCTGTTGGTAACATCTGCAATTTACTCACCACCACCCTGGGAAATAGAGAGGACAATTCCCAGTGTGAGCAAGCTGAGGCTGAGGCTGCCCAGCCGTAGTTAGCTGTGGGCATTCAGAGTTGGCAGGTTCTCCCAGTCCCTCTCACTGGCCAAGTGTTGTGAGCACCTTAGGTCACCGAGAGTCAAAGGACTGGTATCATGGCCACAGATCCCAGGGACAACTCACACTTGCTCTATGTGTTGGTCTTTCTGGGCTCTTACCCACCCATGAGGTCATTGAAGGCCTTTCCCAGGGACTCTTCTGTTTCTTGGTTCCAAAATCACTCTCTGTCTCTTCTTTTTCCTAGCAGTAAGGGGCACTAGTGCCCAGGTTTCCTAGGGCTGGTTGACTCCAATGACTAGCATGGCAGCCTCCAATCAGAGAGAGACAGAGGAGAAGTCAGAGTGGGGAGAATGGACAGAGCCCAACAGGAAAGGACATCAGGAGCCCTTCTCGATGCCCCCTCCCATCCCTCCACTGTACAGCATTGGACTTGACACTTCTATTGTGTGTGATCACTATTGAGTGTGTCAGTCAGCACCAAGGGGACAGTTTGATTGAAAACATAGTGAAAGGAGCTGATCTACTGTATTGTAACGTAAAACAGCTACAGCCAGTTATTTTGTAAGATTATAAGATGTTCATTAAAAAATCAGCACACAAAATGTAAAGTGTGTTTGGTGTTTTTCTCTTTGTTTGAATCATTCCATCACTTCTGAATCACTTTCCATTGGCCCCTGCCAGGTCTGGGCATCAGTCATTGGTTATGAGTGGATGGATGGTTCCTTTCAGTCATTTAAAAACTATTTTTTAAGTAAATAGGTTGTGTAAGGAAAATGAACATGAAAATTCACAAGAGGTGGTATATACAAAAGTCGAGTACTTAGTGATGATGACAAATGCCTCAGGAGTTGTGAAAAAATGTGCAAAAATTGTTTATAGTTCAGAGGAAATAATCCTTGCCCCTAGATGCCAAAGGTAGAAGGCATTTGGAGGCTGATATGTGAAGGACACATATAATTTGATAGGCAGAAATTGGGGGGTAAAGAATAGAGTTGAAGATGTGAGAGGGTTGTGCATTATTGGATATCTCTGGAAGGTAGAACCAACAAGTTCACATGTACCCTGTATTTGGTAAACACAACCTGTTTAATTCCCATGACAGTTCTGAACATCACAAAGTCTCACTTGACAGATGAGAACAGCAAGCCCCAGCCTAGAGGAGAAAGTTCTTCTGGGTCACATGACTAAGTCAGTTCTAGCCTGGTCTATGGAACTCCAAGACACATTAAGAGAAAGAAAACTGGTGATAAGTAAGATGGGAGAGTTGAAAAGTGTGTTGGTGGTGGTCATTACTGACAGAAAARGGAAGACCAGAGGTGCAGGCCTGCAGACCAAGAGCATGGGCTCGCTTGGTTATAAACTTGGTCTGAATACCAGGTAGATAATTGGTTGGGAATGTTATATAAAGCAGTGTTAAGCTCTCTGGAGGAGGCTTCTGTAGCTGGGTCAGCATGGCTCTAAGCTCCCTGGCCATGCCAGGCCCCATCTAGCTTCTTGAAAGGCCAGGGCAGGCAGCAACACACCTATCAGCCGTTTGGAAAGACCTGTAGACAAGATTGTTGAAAATATGAGCTTGTAAGTTGGAAAAGAAATTTCTGGTTGGAAATAAACATTTTATAGTGAAAAGAACCTTACCTGACTTTCTCTCTAACGATTTGCAAAGTGCTTTATATGCTTTATGCCATCCGTGGGCTAAGCAGAGCAAGGACAGTTTTGTTTTGTTTTTTCCATTTTACAGATGAAGAAACTGAGAGCCAGGTCACTGGAAAGTGTAAATCCATGTATCTAAGTTCAGGTTGCTATGGGGATGTGAGGTGCCTTCCACTATACCTTATTCAGCCTGTTGGGCCCAAGAGGGAGCCCAGATCCAGTAGCAGGGGGAACATCTCACATCTTTTCACCTGCTTATGTTTCAGGTGCTCATTACTTCCCTGTGGCTTTCTTAGCAGCTGGGTCCATCCACTTCCTCTGCTGCCTGTTGCCCATGGTTTATGGCAGGAAAACTGAGGGCAACCCTTCTGCAGCACCTTCCAGGGCTCTTTCCTCATGCCAGGCCTGAGTGTAAGCAGATGCCCTTGTGCATTTCAGTCAAGACAGCTGGACAGAAACATCTGGCAAAGCTGCCTTCTTCTTAGTAGTTTCCCCAGGGAGAGTCCTGGACAGAGACTTTAGAGCTCTGGTTTCCATTGACTCACAAACTTAAATGATATGGGGAGCCATCTATAGCTTGGGGGACTCACTATGCTTAGATTTAGGGCATCCAGATGATGAGCAGTTCCTGCAGGGGAAGATAATGAGAAGATTTAACACTAAAAATAGTGCCAGGGCATCTCTGGAGCTGGCTTTGGGTCATCTCTTTTTATATCACCCCAGAAAGATCACGGGGCTCCTGATATTTCAGGTTTCACAATGTTTGGCCCAGAAGAAGAGGAGGAGGTAGTGATGAAATCCTTTATCTCACAATGATCTATGC